CAAAGGGAGGACTTTGAGCTCTCGACAGATTTAACGTGAATCTCTCCCCTACACGGCGGGTCTTCAGTGTGGTACTGGGCACGAACTCATGAAACGCCAGACACAAGTTTGTTACCTTGATCACTAGGCTGTCGCGGCCACTGGAAAAGTTGAAAGTGGTACGCATAATGATTTAATATCAGATAGTATCACTCTCACCATAAAGATTGGCTATCCCTGCTTTATAGGGTAGCGAAATTGTTATACCAGTGTTTCTCAAACTGTGGGGAGCGCCCCCCTGGGGGGGGCGCGATAACCCTTCAAGGGGGCGCGAGCGTATCGAAAATAAAAGGTTAAAAAATTAATTTAAAGGAATAAAGTAAAACAAAATACTTTCTAATATAATAAAAATATAGAAAAACATTGATATGATTTATATATATCATCTGGGGCGAAAAAAGTCATCAAAAATAAAAGATTCTACTTTGAACGCTCATTAGCCATCTTTGATCCTATAACTAAATAAAAAAAATATTTTGTTTGCTTTGCTGTAATCCTGCGATGAGAGATTTTTTATTACGTTTCTTTTAATCTAAAATATTACTTTTGCTGACTTTCGAACTTCCTGGTAATGTTATCTGCATCCCTTTTTTTTTTAGGGAAGTTCTAAATTATATAATTCTGTTGTGCGCTTTTTTCACAATGTGAAAGAGTTTTATGATACATGGATAAGCATATTTAGCACTTTGAAGGATTAATTGGCCAAGATTTATTTTTATGAGTATACTGAAACATATAATACAAAAATCGTTAATTCTGGGAAAACTTTTTATTTGTTACCAATGACCTTGACAGAGATTCCTCCAATATGACAGTCTTAATGGGAGCTAAAATGAATTGATCACATATCTCCTTTTTTGGGAGTAGCAAATGTTTTTTTAGAATCTTAAGGTACTCTTGCTTAGACAAAGTTCCCGGCACGACCACTTTTGTTCAAAAATATTTTCTTGAACATGCTGCATTTTCCCCAATGAATAACTTAGTGGTTTTAATTGTGATGTTGTACGACTGATTAAGGTTTATAAATGTAAATGAGCAGAATATAAAAAAAGAATTGGGCATCTGTGATCTCTCTGAAAGGAAATTGAAGCTGATCAAACAAGGGAAACACTTGCTGAAATAATGCATATTAATCATGTTAGCGAAAGTAAATTTGAGAAAAGCAATAAACATGAAGGAAAATTTTCAATAGCTACATTAAGAACTTTATCAAGAAAATATGAAGCCATAAGTGTACCGCAAAATGCACTTCACCCTGTCAAAAAGACACGAGCAAAAAAAAGTTCAACAGGATATTTGTCGATCATCAAAGAACATTAAAATTACAATAACGTGAACAAAATGTGACAGTTTTGCTTGAAAATAACTTTCCTG